TGGGTTGAGATAAAGACAGTTTAATAGGACAGAAAAGGAAGGGAAAATAATAATAATAATAATGATTATGATGATGATGATGATAAAAGAATATACAAAATAAGTGATGCAAAATGCAATTTCTCACCACCCACTGACAGATGCCCAGCCAGTTCCCGAGCAGCGGTCTCTGCTCTCCGACCAACTCCCCCAGTTTATATACTGAGCATGACATCACATGGTGTGGAATATCCCTTTGGCCAGTTTGGGTCAGCTGTCCTGGCCATGCCCCCTCCCAGCTTCTTGCTGGCAGGGCATGAGAAGCTGAAAAGTCCTTGACTAGTGTAAGCACTGCTTAGCAACAACTAAAACATCGGTGTGTTATCAACATTGTTCTCATCCTAAATCCAAACCACAGCACTGTGCCAGCTACTAGGAAGAAAACTAACTCCATTCCAGCCGAAACCAGGACGCCTCAGCATGGGGTTAGCATCGCCATTATCACAGGACTGCGCCTGCCCTCCTACCCCCCCTCTCTTACGCCGTTACGTGGCAGTACCTTAGCCTGTACTGTGAATTCCCGTCCCTGTACCAGGCACCTCATTTCTACACAGGACCAAGTTGAATGTTTCAGTGTCTCAGTTCAGGATGTGCCCCTCGACTCCTGTGCACATTTTTAGTTTGGTCTCTGTACCTCATCTACCTAGAATAAAAGGTATGAGTTTAAGGTTTTACGTACTTTGGAAATGAGAACAGAAACAGATGTTCTGGCAATGGGTCAGATTGGATAAAAGAAGGCAATATCATACCCACAACCTTATTATATCACTCTGAATATTATTTAAAATTTGTAAATTATGACAGGTTTTCAAACAAAACTAAGTTCAAACCATCTTCTCTTGGCAGAACATATTATTTTTGTGCTTCAATTGAATTGTTTTATGTAACCATATCCCTTAAGCGTTCATAAACATTAATAACATTATAATTTTAATGGTAAGTTCTAGGTAATAGATGCAAGGCAGAAGATGCTATTGGATGTAATAGAATCATCCAGGTCCTGGCTGACGAATACCCAGAATTTAAAAACTGTGTCTGCACTACAGACGATCTCTGTAGCATCACGACTTTGCTTGGGAAACAGTGCAGCCTTGATAAAGGTAACTAAACATAAAGACTTAATTATGAAGAACAAAAAGAAATATGTAATTTTGTAACCCTCATTTTAACTGGATTCAAGTTTCTTTACATATTTCTCAAATCTGATAATTCCCTAAAAAAAATAGTTTTGTCTTTTCTATGATATTCACACACCAACATGCATATGAAAACAATGCCATATTAGCTTTAAAATAAACAATAAAAGGCATGTGAGAAATTCAGATGTTTTTAAAGCTCTTGCTCAACCCGATGGAAAGCAAGAGTGAAAAATACTCTTAGCAAAGCTGACATGAGAGAGGTAAAATCAGCCAGTGAATGAGAGTCTGGAAAGTGAGCCCCAAGGTTGATTCCCAGCTCTGATCCATCACTCCCTGCTGGCATCAATCAGCATACATGATATAGTAGTAGAATATATGGCTTTATTGCAGAGGAAATAATAGCATCGTGATCCATTGCTCCATGCCCCAAACAATAAGAGTGGGTGTCTAAAACCTGATGTTGATATCATTGGAATAGTTGCTTTTGCTTCTAGCAAAATTAAGCAATTTTATATTTTTTGTTGATTGAGATTACATTTCTCACCAGTGTAGCAAAAAGTTTGGATGGAGTTACACCAGTATCAGTTTTACCTACAGATGATAGCTTATGGTTTTGGTAGACACTTTCAGGAGTAATTCTCCCTGTCTATCTTAAATGACTATTTTAGGTAATGAATGAACCATCTTCTGGAATTGCCATTCTCTCTTTACAAATTATACGTTGAATTAAGATCATAATCCATGATGCGTCCAATCTGTACGTGGTTAAAATTACCCTTTATGCAGTAATTTTAGTGAGAGTTTCTTGTATTACTGTTAGCAGCTGAATTGTTAGACTGTATTATGCAGCTACCAGGACGCAGTAAGCATGAGGAAGATTCATTAGTCTGCAAGACACTGAAATTATTATGTATTTACATACAGCTCAGAATGAAACTAGGGTTGTTTCATTCATTTTATTGCATTATGACAATTATCCTTTTCCTGAGTTTGTTTTGAGCTGACCAGTGATGATGCTCCATCTTCCATTTGATTTATATCTCTGGTTTGTACCTATTTGTACAGAATATTTTGAAACTTCCTCAAGATCAGATACTGGACTGAGTTTTAGGCAACACAGAGACCCCGAAGACCAAAGTCACCCAGAAGAATTAGAGAATGACTGCAGTATTGCAAAGCAACGCTGCCGAGAGGATTCTTACTGTTTTCTAGTGTATAAGAGCTTCCAGCAAGCATGCCAGGCAGATGCAGCAAAATGCAGGCTCCCGATGGTCAACCAGGAGTGTTTGTCAGCATGGAAAGAACTGAGGAAAACAGTTCTGGGAGAGTGCAAGTGCTCAGAGCCACATCAGCTGAGATGCGTTAAAATATGGAAGGGAATAATTAACCACCATTGTTTACAATATTCTCAAGAGAGCCAAGCTTCAGCAGCTAGTGAAAATGATGATGATCATGATGATGGTGATGTTGATGATGAGAAAAATCAGGACACTGACACAGGTTAGTGGTATTCCAGCAGTCTGAATGCTTTCATACATAACAGTAGCATGCACAAGTCTGTGAAAAAGGTTTTCTTAATCATTTGCAGTTTAACATTGGAAACAAGATAGTTTTAAGAGGCTTATTTAGATGCAAATTACCAATCTGATAGAAAAATGATAGCCTGAGTGCAAATACTATTGTCCTTCAATGTATTAATTTGATACAACCTGATCCAAATCAGTCCCTTTTAGGATTACACTATAACTAGAAACAATATAAGACCAATAACAATAATTCTCTAACAGCA